AAAATTAAAATAAAATTATTATAATTATTATATTTATATATATTTATATTTATATATATAAAAATATATATATATATATATATATATATATATATAAAATATGACTTAAAAGAAATTTTTTTTTCTAATTTAACACCTTGAAATTGGGCCTCTGTCTCTTTAAAAGCTCCTGCTCTTTCTGAAGCTCCACCTCCAGGAAGTCATGGCTCCTCTATTAACCCTTTAGCAATGTTTTCACCGGCGTTGCTCTGAGCAGCAGCTCCTATAATGAGCTCAGCAGTTCCACCAGCTGTTGGCTAATTGCTGCTGGCTAGTCTGAAGGAGCTGATAGGGGGAGGAGATACGCCTCAAAGGCAGAGCTAGGTTCACCCAGGTATTTTGTACAGCTGAACGGTTGCCATGGAGATTAAAGGGTCAATCTCCCTTTTTGCCAGTATGTTTTTGATAGCGGAATAACATCATATAACATTATATGTTGGAAAGCTAAAAAACAAAAAAAAAGGATTTCATACTGCCCCTTTAAGAACTTTCAAAACAGAGGATTTTCTTGAGTGAAAAATTAGGAGTTCTGACTGTAATTCATTCAAATACTACAGAAAAAATGTAAGCAGAATTTTTTATTTCTTTAAGATGACAACTAAATCCCTTGATAACTAGAGGGTTTTAGGTTGGAAATGTATTCATAAATAAACAAAAATGTTCAACTTTGCAAACTTTTAGGTTCTATTTCACTTTGTGTTTTGAGCCATTCGGTCTGTCAATATTGACGTGTTAATGCGTGCAGCTAATGTAAAAATTTTAACGTGTTAAAATCTCATAATGCAGATTAATCTACTGTTTTGACCTGAAAGCCTCTCCAGAGCAGGGTTACCGCGTTCTGGACCCGACACACGAAGAGCGACAAACGACAGCAGAAAGCAACAAAAGTTTGAAACATCTCAATTTTCTTGTGTTGCGACAAATTGTGACTGTCGCCTTGTAGCACAACATCCACAGGAAATGAGACCTGGAAAGATGTTTTGTATCAATCAGCAGTTCAAGAATGATACAAATTTATTTATTAAACCTTACATTTTTATTGAGGGTAAAATTACCAAAATAATTTTCTTACCATGAAAAATGTTTTTCATGGCAAGAAATGAAAAAATGTTAAGTACGACACAAAGTATTTGTCTTTTTATAACTAAGCTTGTATAATATGTACAACCAGGTCTATCCTGAGACTTTTATGGGTTTTATTTCATTTCTCAAACTTGGCTAAATATAGAAAACACCAAAACCTGTTTCCAGCCAAATAGATTTTGAAAACTAGGTGCCTTTGTTTTAATTCGGAAAAATATTTTTCATGTTTTGGATCTATGATAAATAACATAATTTTCATACAAAATCCAAAGAAAAAAAATCAGATGACTATTTGGCTAATTTTAGTTTATATATATATATATATATATATATATATATATATATATATATATATATATATATATATATATATATATATATATATATTTTTTTTTTTTTCTAGCCCTGTGGATACTTTTGACTTAACCTGGCATAAAGGTGATGTTTTAATTTCATTATGGTAAGTGAATGTGTTTAAGAGGAACATTTGATGTGAAACTGTCTCAAACAGGAAGAGGATTCCTGCGTTATCCGTGTTGCTCTAAATGAAGGTGCAGAGCGGATCAACAGTGTGGTTAATAAAGCAGCCAGACTTCAGCAGTGAGCTGTTAGCATATCCAAAGATCCCTTGTTTTAAAGTCAAGTCGCATTTCTTGAATTATGCCAGCAGAGTGTTTAGTATGCTCCAAGTGCGACAAATGAGCACCTGTGTTAACAGCTTAGCGGCCTCATAAATCACTCAATGTTTTACATTTAATTATGCTGCTGTTCATGTTCAGTCTCCTAAAACTGGCTTAAATTGAGCAAAGTGTTCACGACTTGAAAAAACCTGCATGAATCAGAGAAACGTCATAAGTTTGGTGCTTCAACTTACCGTAGACGTAGAGGACGTAGTCATCGAAGGACTCGCCCAGCGGGTTGGACGCCACACACCGGTACGTCCCGTTGTATGACTTGTTCAGATTCTCGATGTAGAGATCGGCGCCGGTGATGACTGCGTGGGACGGGACGTCGTCATCCACCTTCAGCCAGTTGACCCGCTGCGGCCTGGAACCAGAACATCAGGAAACAGTGAGGACAAAGAGACGCTGGAGGTCCTCAACCATCGGCCCGGATGCCCACCGTCAGCTAAACCAAAGAAGGTTGTTGAATAAACCGTGGAACATCACAGAGGAGCCAACATTTGAAGAAGCCAGGGACAAAAACTGCCTGCAAAGACTTCAAACTTCCTCTGAAACAGCCGAATTGGCACCAGTTTTGATAGATTTGAAGAAGGTGGGGGGTCCAACTTCACTCAGGTTAAAGCTGTCCTATGTGCTTCTTTTGAACAGTGAAGAACCAGTCTATGGCCTATACAAAACATGTTCATTACAGCTTTTTGAACAAAATCATTCTTAGAAAATGAGATTTTAGTTTGCCCAGTTGTTCCTATTTTGAGCCATTTTAGGGTGTCTTGTCACTTTATATCCCAATAAGCTGCTGCTGGCCACACCCCCCAACTCCACGCTTACACTCAGACATGAAAATGAGTGCAAACAGATGCACAACTACACAACCGTACATCTTTGAAAAGCAGAAGTGGAGCCTCCTGCACAACCAAAAAGAATGCAACATGTGGATTCTGGGTGGTAAGTCATCAACAAATCACTTGTCTTTTCCAGCAACCGCTGCACAACACATAAAGTCATAAAACCAAGTTGGAGCAAGTTGGAACTCAACTTGGGTTGCTAGGTAACGGGCGGAGCTCCATATGGGTTGCTAGGTAACAACTTGGATTGTTACCTAGGTGACGCTCCATTCTGGAGATTTTTGAAACTTCTCATTTTCCAGACGCCAAAAAACAAACTTATTGCCAAAAAACTGGCTGAGTGTTTTTTTTTTGGTTTTTTTTAAGCGGCAAGACAGTTTATAGAAGCTGTAGAAATGCAAATGGAAGAACAAAAATGTCCAAAATGTGAATTTAGCATAATATGTCCCCTTTAAAACTGCCTGTTTTAGTTGTTGAAACACCAAATAAATCTTGTTGTTACTTCCTTCCACAGGGTTGCCACACACAGTCAGACTCCAGAGCTGCGCGCACACAGACTTGGCAGACATGCTTTTACAGGAGCAGTAAAATGTAAAATCGACTGTTTTGAGCTTTATATCATGTTATAATGTTATTCACTCATCAAAAACATAACTGGAGAGTTGCTTTGGTTCTTTCATGCATGTTTGAGAAATCCATACCAACAGATCAACAGTTTACTGCTGTAAGTGTGTCACATAAACCCCAAAAACACAAAATCTTACCAAGTATCTTTGGTTTAGTTAGAGCATCTAAAATAATTTATAGAATCCTGTTGATGGGTAAAAAGTTTATTTTTCCATTCTGCTGCTAAAACAGGTCTATTCCAGACATAATTTTGATCAATTCTAAAAAGAGTTTGGTTATTATGGAGACTAATGAATTTAAATCTAATTGTCTCCTTGTGTTAAATGAATGCTACTAATTGCAGCAGCTATTGATATTTTTACCTGTGTAGGTAGGCAACTATTAAGCGTCAGCCTTTGTTCTGGTTTCTTCCTGAATAGCAGGGTGGTTTATTCCATTTTTATGACAATAAGCTCCAAGTGCCCTGAGTAGCAGCGGGTTGGGGAGGGGGGAAAGGAGACAAAAAACATCTCCATTTGGCTGCAGCGGCTTCCAGAGGCCGCTGCCAGCTCCCGTTATTTCCCCTGAGCGCGCTGATGGCCTCTCTTGTTGCATTTTGTTGCGCCGTTTTAAGTTGCTTCCCTCCCTTTGAAAGCAAATTTGGTGGGGATCAAGCACACAAATCGAAGAGGTGGAGAAAAAAAAAAAAAAGATGAAGCAGAAAAAAATTCAACCCAAAAAGAATCCGAAGCAAAACAAGCAAAGCCCAAGTGTGTTTAATGGCCGACAGAAGTCAACAAAAATATAAGTTCTGATGGAGCAGATATTCTATAGGTGGACTGGATGTTGTGAGAGGAGCTGAAATGAATTCAGTGGAGGCTGATAGACAGAGATAGACCAAAGAGGTAAGATGGGGATGCAAGGAGAGAGGAAGGGCAGGCGTCTGGAATACAAATGGCCGCCTGCAGCCGGGCGCGGCGCCGCTATCTGCTGTAATGACTACACAACTCTCAGCAGCTCTAATGAAAATGACTTCCAATTCCCGGCTCACTGTATTGATTGTGTTTTCATCTTTAGAAAATGAATACAGGGAGCGCTTGTCTCGATGCCAAGTTTGAAAACCGTGGGGGTCGGTGGGGTTGGAGTGAGTGAGTGTGTGTGTGTGTGTGTGTGTGTGTGTGTGTGTGTGTGGGGGGGTACAGGGTGTTTTTGTGTGTGTTTTGTGTGTGTGTGTGTTTGTGGTGTGTCCCGCTT